GGGGTTCCCGTGCGCTGCGGGGCCTGACAGGCGCCGCCTGCCCGCTGCTGCCAGCCCCCGAGCCAGGCCCTTCCTCGGGCACGGCCGGGAGGGCTTGGCCGGGCAGAGGCGCAGCCAGGGGTGGATCTAGGCTTTGGAAAAGGGGGGTGCAGAGGAGCTGCCCATAACACAGCACAGGCTTGTCTCCACTTCAGCAGAAGCTAGAAGCTTTACTGACTGGGCAGCAGGGTACAGTCCAGTTTGAGATGGAAGCACAAGCCAAATGCACATAAGAGCTGCCATTTGCTGGGTCAGGCCATAAATCCGCCTTGCCCATTTTCCATTCTGCAGAGGGGCAGCATCACATAAGACTGAAATCAAGACAAGTCATGGCAAGCAGGGATTTAAGGTCCTGGCTAAGGCCAAGTAGGTCTTCCTGTAAGCTGTGCGCACCCTCAACTTTGCAAGGGCAATTATACTGAGTGAGTGGGGGCTGGGGCACCCGTCCATTTGGTGGCTGTGACAGACTACCTGACGGCCGAAGTCCTGGAACTGGCTGGAAACACTGCCCTGACAACAAAAAAACTCACTTCATCCCCTGTTACCTCCAGGTGGCTGTCCACAGTGATGAGCTGAACAAGATGCTGAGGGGAGTCACCATTGCTCGAGGTGGGGTCCTGTCCGACATCCAGGTGATGCTGCTGCCGAAGAAACCTGAGAGCCACAAAGCCAAGAACAAGTGAGATCTGATTCAGACCTAGACTAGGAAACATTCGTAACAACCCCCCTCAACCTCATGTCACACAGCAGCAGAGGTTGGATGCTGAAAGGCAGAGGGAACTGGGTATGACCAGGTTTTTTCCTGCTGTTCCTCTCTCACTTGCAGCCTCCAGCATTCATGGTCTAGGACAGGGGTCAGCAACCCCTGGCACATGTGCCAAGCATGGCACACAAGGCCATTTTGCTCGGCACACCACCGCCAGCCCAGGCTCTAAGCAGTTGCTGCCAGCCACAGAGCAGAGGCTGCTCCCAGCAGGCGGCTGGGAGGCTGCAAGCCCTGCTGCAAGCAGACTGGGCTCCTTGGGCTGGCTGCAGCCGGGAGGCTGCAAACAGCTGCTCTGGGCTCCAGCATGTAGGCACTCTGGCACCTTCCAAGGTAGACAGTGTGGTTTTTTCGGCACGCCAGCCAAAAAACGTTGCCTACCCCTGGTCTAGGAAGTTCTGATTCACAGGCTGTGGCCCTTGGGGCCTTGTAGACATTACACTGTAAGCCACAGGCAACGCCTAGGGGGGACACAGGAGAGCACGTCCCTCCCCCTGAGATTGGTGGCCACTGCCAAAGCTGCCACCAGCTTCTGTGGGTGGTTGCCACCTCCCCCTCGCTGCCAATGCATCTGCTGGCAGTTGCAGGCGGTCCCTGCTTGCCACCCACCGCTCACCAGTGACACCAGTGAGCCCCACCCCCACTGCTGACACCAGTGCGGCCACCTGCAGGCAGTCCCCACTTGGCCCATCCTCGCTGCCAACATCACTGCAGCTGCCTGCAGGCAGTCCCCCCTCACTGCCACCCCACTACCAACAACGCTGCCACCACCACCGCCTGCAGGTGATTGCTGTGCCCCCCACAGCCTCCGGAGGCACGCATCGTTCATGCTGTAAGCTGAACAAATGTTAATCGTCTTAGTGGAGCAGTCACACAGTAAGGCAACTCCACTCGGACTGTCCTTCACCTGCACAGCTGTGACTTGCCACTAGAAGCTTGGTGAGTAGGACTAGGAGCAGGACCCCTTGGCTGCTCCTGCCAGGCAGCAAGCTCACCACCATGTCAGTTGCAGCAGGACCAGAGAGACCTGGGGAATAAGCTTCCCTGGGGCTCTGATCTCGCTGAAACAAACACAGTGGCCCCACACTGAGAGCAGGGATATTGGGCTTAAGCCTTGGGCTCTCTGGTCTCATTGAGCTACAGCAGCTGTAATGCTCTTGGAGCACTCCGATTGGTTGTCTCGGCAGCCAATCATAATGCTTACTGAAACAACCAATCCGTGTGCTCTGCACAGACAGACACAGGGACAACAGAGTGCTGCCATGATGGCGGGGACGGAGTGAGGGGGTGGTGGGAAGGCCAGACAGGAATGGTGGGATTGCATGAGGCAGGATGCAGCGCAGCGGCAGCACAGGGTGGTGGCAACCACTGTGTGCAAGCTTCTCCAGACACGGGGGGAGGGATAAGCTTGCATGCGGTCACTGTCGCCCACATTGCCCTGCCCTGCTGCCGCTCTGGGAATGAAGTGGGGCCAGATGCAGAGCGGCGGGAGGGGAGGGGGGGGGGTGGGGGGGGGGGGGGGCTGACCCCCCCCCATAAGAGACGACAGCCTCCCCCACCCCCCATAAGAGACTAAGCAGCTCAGGCGGCAGCAAGGGCAACAGCAGCTCCTTCCAGCTTCTGGCTACCAGCACCACAGACCCCCACAAGAGTCGGAGTATAATTTGAACCCTGGGCTTATGCCTGGTGGCCAGTTCTCAGTTCAAGGCCACTGTGTCAGTTTCAGGGAGACCAGAAAGACCTGGAGAAGCAGCTTCCCTGAGGCTCTCTGGTCTTGGTGAAACCAACATAGCGACTCTGTGCTGACAGCATGGCTTAAGCCCAGCAGTCCCACTTTCAGTGCAGACCTGCTGTGTCAGTTTTAGTGAAACCAACTCACTCGCTCTGAGGGGCTCAATCTTTTTTTCTCCAGAACTCAGGCAGTGCCTGCTGTCCTGCACCCCACTGGCTGGGCTGGGCTGCCAGCTGGCCAGGTGCTGCCTGAGCTCCAAGGAGCCCAATCCTTTTTTCTCCAGAGCTCAGGCGGTGGCCACCCACTGTGCCACCACTGGCGCAAACACAACCAGTCTAGGCAGCAGTGGGAGGCACCAAGGCTGCCAGGTGCTCTGAGGCTGCAATGCTCATTCTGCCCGACATCCCCAAGGGTTGAGATGCATACTCAGCCCCACTGTACTCCAATGTCCCTGCTCATCCTGTCTCAGGAGAGGGCACAGCATTCTGGGATACTAGAGAACTTCAACTTGGGCAGAACAGCTATGGGAAGTGGCCACACAGTAATGGAACCGGAACAAAATTAGGTGGATTGGAGATAATCCTACCCTGGAGTGGTGTAACTTTAAACCAAATAATGAGTACTTTAAGCCACTTAAAAGGTGCTAACAGGCAGCCAGTCCAGGGGTAAAGAGCTCTAGAAGCCACCAAACTTACTGTATAACAAGACCCTTATTCCCATGCTCAATAGATACTTGATGCCCCTTTCCTCCAATAATTGTTCCGATCCATTTTTGAATCTGGCTAAACTGTAAGCTTCCACAACATCTGGTGGCAATGAGCTCCACACTTTAATACACTATGAGAACAAGAATGTCCTACTGGCATGTTCAGTCATTTGCTAGAGAACATATAAAGTTAAAAAAAAGCACACAACCCACAAGGCAAAAAAAAACAGTCAAGGGATATCATTTGTCCTTGTGTCATTAGTGTTTAATGAACATTTCTTATTCAGATTCATTAAACAAAATCTAGCCTTCTTGAGTGCTTTGGCAGTGATACCAATACTTCACTGGCAGTCATTGCTACACCTGAGTTAACACTACCACATCTGAGTTAAAGTTTTTAGCTTGAGCTGAAAACAGTCTGCAGGGCTGTGAACTAGAAGAGAGACAGCTAACAGACAGCAAAATTACAGAAGGATAGTTTGACTATAATGAAACATCAAGACTGTTAAGAAGGATAGAGGATCTTAACACCTGAGGAGTAGATAGATTAACAAGAATAGGGGAAAATATAATGAGCCATGAAGTCAGCTAACTCTCTCAGCTCTGCCCGAATAGAAATGCTGCCCCTCCCAGGCACTTGCTTTTCAGGTTTGAGTAGAGCAGGAATCAAAGGGTGGTGCAACTGCACCAGTGCACTCTCCTTAGATCCACCCCTGCATATAGAACAGTAGTTCTCCACCTTGTTAGACTCAGGGCACCCCTTGTTTTCACTTGCTTTTTGACTACAGGAAAGTACTAGAGCAATTCTTCTGTTGCGAAGAACTCAGAAAGTCCACAACTGCTTGGAATGCTTTCGACACTATGGATTACTATTTGAAATCTCTGGGTTTATCTTGTGACTTGTATTTGCATGCCTAACAATGTTAACAGGGCAAAGCGTGAACGCTGCATGGCCCCCAGAGGCTGGGGGGACACGGCAAGCTTCCACAGGCAGGGGTGGCGCCAGTGACAGCAGGAGCGTGGCAGCGGCAAAAAGTGAGATCCTGCAGGCAGCTGCGGCACTCTCAGTGGCAGGGGGAGGGGGTGGCGAGCACCAGCAGTGATCATGGACCGCTGGCAGATGCCACTAGTGGTGTCAGCAGCGAGTAGGGGTTGGTGAGCGGCAACTGCCCACAGGTGCCGCTGGTAATGTCAACAGCACCTTTTTGCAGGGGGTGTACCACCACACTCAGGGGGTGCATGTGCAATCCTACACGTCACCAATGGGGCATAGCATCCCACGGTGTCCTTGAAAGGAACTCAGAGTACTTCAGGATGCTGCAACACTCTGGTTGAGATTCGTTGGTGTATATATACAGAACTTACTCCCTCATTTAGGCCCCAGCTGAGGAAAGCATTTCAATGTAAGCTTTATGAGTAGTGCCACTGAACAAAGGAGACCCTCACATGCTCAATTACATATCCCCATAATCATATTTAATGTGTTACTGATGTCCAAAGGCATTTTTTCAAGGTAGAGGAACTTTGTCAATTGGTGATCCACCCTGTGCATCAACGGTATCCTGCTTTTAATGTCTGGAAGATTTCCTTAATTAGCCATTTCTAATTATTTTAGATCATTCCTAGTTGTGGTATTCTCCTGGGGTTTTGTATTCATTTTACATTTTCTAACTGGAAGAGAGTGTGTGTATTAATAAATTATTGATACAATTCTCAAAACGTTTAAAATTGAAATGCTGTGATATAACCACTAGATGGAGCTTTCTCTCTTTCCACTTTCCAACGTTAGCTACAATGTGCTATTTCTAACACATTTAATTATATTTCTGAGATCAGGTGGTATTGGAAAACCACTGTTACCATTTATTAATGTTTAATTTTATACAATGCACATTTGTATTCTTTTCTCCTCTTTGTTCTTTTACTCTTCTATTTAAAAAAATTCTCAATATGGAAGAGACAGCTAAAATAACATTTACAGGTTCCTCAAATTCTCTTGGCACATTGCCTGTCTTTTGAGACTTGTATTTAATAAGGTACTGACTGCTTTCTATTCTTGATGATCATTTGAATATATTCTCAGAATTACTGTTTTTAATTAATTTCAGAGTTATTCCCTTTATGCTTTGTTAAGGCTGTCTTTTTGTATACATAGATAGACATGTGTTTGGTATTTCTAAATATATAATCAATGAACTGTGCAAAAAAAAAAGCAGAAACATAATGGTTAATTCTCTACTTAGATTAATAATACATATTTTTTTCCAAATATCAGTGCTTAGTTACTATTACCCATAATTTAATTGCCTTACTTGTTCTAAGGACAATTATATTTGCTTGTTAGATCTTTCCTAAAGAGACTTAAGACAGAATAGCTGTTATTTTTTTAACTATTCATAGGACGTTTAAATTCTTATGACTTTTCTTTAAATGTTACCAGATGCATTAATGTAAATGAGGATTTTCCAAAATCCTTCAATAAAAACAAGGGAAAAACAACATATAAATAATCATTTTCAAAATTAGCCCTAGCAGAATTACAGTTTTGTTTGGGTTAAAAGTAGTGTATCCGTTTTTGTCTTCTCCCAAAACAAAATTGCTGTAATGACTAGGGATCCAGGATTTCCATTTCCCACAGAAAAACAGGAAAAAAACATGGACTTTCCCTTTTACTTGACAAAAACACGGATTTTTTTTCATTTTAACAGAGAAACACACGGGTTTTCCACTTTTACAAAGAGCTCTTTGCAGGCTGGCAGAGTTCCAACCTGCAAGGGGCTAGGGGAGTGGGAGAAGGGCAGTCAGGCAGAGGGCATCATGTGCATGTATATGCACATGGCTCCTAGGCAGTCTGGAGAGCAGCTCCCGCACATAAGTCTGGCATGGGGGGAAGGGGAGATTGATGCCCCCACAGGGAGGGAGGGAGTTGGGCAAGGCTAGGTCTGGGGCTACTGCCCAGCTGGGGCAGTGCATGCAGCTTGGGGCCTGGGGCTGGAATGCCTGGCTGCAGGGCCCAGGCAGAGAGCGGTACAGGGCTGTGGGTGGCTTATCGGGGGAGAGGCGTGTGCCCCCCTGATCTGTGTGTGAAGCAGAGGTGGGGGCAGCCTGACCACTGCAAGCTTGGTCTCCCTGCCCTGCTGTCCTCCCCCTGGGGCTTCCGCAGCACAGCGGGCAGGACCAAGCACAGCAGGGCAGGGAGGAACAGGGAAGCTCCTTGTTGCTGCAAGCTCTGCACCACCCTGGCTAGGCGCCACCTGCCCACCCAGCAGGGGTGGCAGCATGGATTTGTGCCCATTGCTGCTGTTGGGCAGGCAGAGGGAGCCTCACCAGGGCAGCATGAAGCTTGCAGTTGCAACAAACTTCCTTGCCTGGCCCCGCTCTGCCCTGCTGCACTAGGTCCCCCCTGCTGTGCCATGGAAGCCTCAGGTGGAGAGCAGCAGGGCAGGAAGCCCTGAGCCTGTAGTGAGCACCCCGCACCATGGCCCCCCATGGACTCCACTCTGGCCGCACTGCCTGCAGGGGTGAGAGGGGAGCTGGGCTCCGTGCTCTGCTACATCGCAGCAGCTGCTGCCTCCTGTGGGCAGCAGCCAGGGCTTGGACGCTGGTGCTGGGGGGGCCAAGTGCTGCAGACCAGTTCCCTGGCCCCGTAGCCGTGGTAGCTGGGGGCCCCTTCCAGCAGGGCTAGGGGGGTAGGGGTCTGTGGGTGAGGAGTGAGAATCATCAGTAGGGCCAGGGGACTGTGGCTGGGGAGTGAGGGGCACTAGCAGGGCTGTGGGTGGGAATGAGGGGCCTGGACCTGTGTCCTGGTGAGCTAAGAGAGAGGAGGAGCTCTGATTTTCCATGATAAAAAACCCCAACTCAAATACCAAAATTTATGGGTACATAGGATTTATTTTATTATAGTGATTGAGGCACTGGCAGGCTTCCAAATTGCTTTGAAATTGTAAATATATCAATAAAACACTGTGTTCAATTGATACCTATATATAGTGGCATTTCATTTTAATCACAGATTTGGGGTTTTTAATCAGAGAATTTCCAATTTTTTTTAAATCGAAAAATTTGCAATATTTTTTCAGCGAAAACCAGGATACCTGGTAATGACTGGGTTTGCAAAATAATGTTACCAGCTTAGAAGATGTTTAAACAATAACCCTGATGCAGGCCAATAAACTGTCCTAAATAAAGCAGTAACTGTGGTCTTTCCTAAGGAATTTTACCACAACTGACTGTGGGAAGGCAAAAAACGACCATTGTCATGTACATTGTCTCTGAAAGTTTGAAAATGTACGCCAGGTGATAATGAACAATTGCATTAATCAACTATTAGTGGCCAAAACATTTTTACACCCATTTATGGTACTTCAGCTGTACTTGCAGTCATATTTCTACGCAACCAATCATTTCTCATCTGAACCAAAAACAGGACATACCCAAATGGAAGGACTGTGCCACCCATTCTAATGCCATCATCAGGTGGAAGGGATATTGAGCTGTGGGTTATAAAGAATATCTGGGCTCCTTATCCTGCAACACAGAATGGAACCCCAAATGTTATCTCCCTATTATTTGGTTATATCCTGAACAGAGGACAAACTATACACACAGCTGTGGGATGACTAATATCTGCTTGATAAATGATGTTTCAGCAAGTGAAAGACTCCCTCAGTACTGCAGGTTCTGAGAATGCTCAAGTACTATAGTGATTGTCCAAGAAAGGGTGTAAAGCAGAAAGAGATGTAACTCTGGGCATGCCTGTAGATGGCATGCAAAAGGAGACAAATGACATAATAATAGAAAGAGAGGAAGGAAAAAACCAGGAGAGTACCATTGTGAAATCCCAGTGAGGATAACAGGTGTAAAATCATTTCGTTATTAACATGATTAAAAAAACTAGATTTCATTTTGATACGGACAAAATCCTGCATTATTTGCATCTTAAACTTCCTTCCAAGAAGGTGTCACAGATAATATAATGATAGAGAACACGCAGAGAAGCAAAAGTACTAAGATGAATGGATAGGTAGAAAAATAAAATGGAGATCTGGGTTCTAAACAGGGAGTACTACTAAGATAATTACATCTTTCTGTTACCCCTTGTATTCAATATGCAGTTACACTATGTTTTTCTTCACTTATTTCCATGTTAGACGTATATATTACATTTAAAGTTTTTGGCAAATATTCCCAGGTTGCAACTTACCTTCCCATTGGGAAATTTCTCCTTTATGTTTCCTAGGCATTTGATAAAAAGATAGAGTTTTCATCTTTGACAGTTTTCTCTTCTTCACCTGCTGAATCATGTTTAGCTCCACCAGATGTTCAATGAACTATATTATTAAGTCTTGTCAGCAGTGATCTTGATATCTTTAGAAAACCACTTTTGTTGCTTGCAACAGTTTAAAAGTGGCTAATTGAATGTGTCATTCAACTTTAAAAATCAAAATAAAAAATCATTTTAACATAATTTATATTTACAATTGTATCATAATGCTGCATTTGGTTTTTGTTTTCTTTTTTATAATTCCTTTCTTCAGAACATATACATTTATAATTCCTAACATCTGAATATTTTCAGTATATCCATTTACAGATTGATAGAGTTCAGGCTTTTCTTGGCTACCATGTCAAATTCTGCAGAAATGCAATTGTAGTTTTAATTAAGCAGGTCTTCTTTCAAGTGATGACGACCACACTTTTTGCACACAGAAATAGGAAGTTACATCCGGTTCCAGAAGAAAGCAGATTGTTACACGTAAACGGTTTCAGGAAACACCTTAAAAGCAAATAAAAATTAAATGGAGAGGAAAGTTCTAGGGTAGTGTTTGCTCAAAACTGCTCAGAAAATATAGTCCTTCAGAAATAACCAATACTACTTTAAAAAATGGAGATAAGAGGCTAGTCTAGTGGTTTGGGTTACCCCTTGATCTTTACCATGCATGCAGAACATCCAGATTGTGGATAGCACAGCACAGCTCAGTCTATATCAAAATTATTGTAGAAAGAAAACACAAAGAATGTGTGTTAGCAGTGACTTCTGAGTCAGCAACTTAATAAATAACAGTTTAAACTACACTGCCTACAGATTTACACTGGTGGGGACTTTCAGTTAGACTTTGGCCTGGCATTACTGGTGCTTTTCATATAGGATCTAATTAAGCCTGTATAACTACAGAATATGCAATCAAATTTAATATCCATGCACTGGCCTTTTGGGATGAAGTCAATAGGATATCTGTACCACTGACTGAATCAAGCACCATGTTCTTGTATATTTTTATCCATCACTCAGTGCTTTATACAGGAAACAAGTATTATTATCCCCATGTTATATGATGGGTAGGGAATATTTCATATTCTATATAATAGTTAACATTTTTCTTAAAAGAGTTATTTGCTTTTCATTAAGAGAGTTTGCATGTATCCTCTTTCAGGTAAAATAAGGAAATACATAGAAGTGGGATGAAAAATAAAATAACTGATTTTGAAGTCCTTGATAGTTATTTTTCTGAGCTATACCCCAAACTGACAGTGTAATCTATCTATACAAAAGTCCAATTCACATCAAACTCATAATTACATTTATCTGGGCACGTCTACACATGTATTTTAATGTGCAGTAGCCTATTTTACCGTGTGTTAAAGCAGTGTATAAAAAACAGCGCTATTATTCTAATACACAGTAAAATAAGCTACTGTGCATTAAGTGGCACCTAAAAACATGAGCTTGTGCTACTGCACATTAAGGCAGCCTAATGCACATTTAGTACCTTACACTGGAGGTACTAAATTTAATGCACATTAGAAAAAGTGCATTAATGCACATGTAGACAGACACGCTCTCTGTCTACTTTTACAGAAGCCAAAGGGAACTCCCAAATGGGACAAATTATGAACACAGTACATTTACTTATGGAAAACTTCTGTTGACTGAAATGGAGCAGGATTTTGTTAAGTACTAGACCTGAAAGAACCACTTGCTAATGCTGAGCTTTATGCACAGGTCCCTAGAATTGTTATTAAAGACTCAGTGGCTTGTTGAAGATTTAATTATTTGGTAGTTATAGATTAATATCACACAACTGCTTGTGCACAATGGTGTTTAATATTTCTTTGTCTAGTACAAAGGCTATCATTTCAAGAAGCTGCATTGAGCATTGTAGAGACCATGATGATTTAAGAGCTTCCTCCTATCCATCCTCAACCACAATCCAACTTTCATTATGGAAGCCCCAAAGACGATGAAAAGATGAAATAAGAATGATTTCTTTAGTAAATATTTTAGCTGACTTTCTGTCATTCGTTACTATTCATCCTAGTAGCAAACTGACTGGGTAGATCTGTACAGAACAGGGGTAAAGTGTCAGAAAGGATAGGTGGTCCAGTAATTTGGAGCTACCTTAAGGACTGGGAGATCTACTTTCAAGTCCCCACTCCACTCAACAGCATCTCAGTGCTGCAGTTTCCAATCTGTGAAATGGGGTAACTCCAGACCCCGATGGACAACTCTGCAGAGTCCTCTTTAACTTCAGAGAGGTCCCTGCAATTATAGGTGACTCCTCACATGGAACCAAGTGGTAACAGATTAGCAGGGAAAGAATCCATCCCACTTCACCAGAACCCTGCAGGTTCTGCTCTTCTAGTAACATCTGACTTTTATCATTCAAATGAGCACATATGAGTTGGCGTAACTACTGGGAAGTTTAATGAGGTGCTGTGGTATTTTATTAGACCAACTCAAATAGTTGGAAAAATTCTTCTTTGCAAGCTTTCAGGTACACTTTTCGGGCAGACACTTCCTCTGCCTGACAAAGGGTATTTGCACTCCAAAGCTTGCAAAGAAGGTTTCCATTCGCGTTGACCTAATAAAAGATATGTGGTATTTTTAAATCACTCAGGAGCTGACTGCACCATCGTTCACCTCTAGTAATCCTCCTTCCAGGCAGAGTCCCGCTGCGACTCGATAGTGTCATGTTTCTGGGGCCAGTGTGCCCATGCAGCGCGTAGGAGGCCGGCCGGAGAGCCCTGGCTGCGCTCCCCTCCCTCCCCGCTCCTGCGCTGCAGGGCGCAGAGCTCGCGCGACGGCCGCGTTGCGGGAGGACCCCGGCACACCAGGCTGCCCTGCCCACAGCCCCCTGCACGGCAGAAGGCGCGGGCCGGTGTGGGGCACCAAACAGCGGCACCTCCCCCGCGGCCCGGCCCGGCTCAGCTCGGCCGGGGGAGATCGCCGGTATATCCCCAGAACGCCCGCGGCGGCCGCTGCAGCTGCAGCCCCAAGCACCGCCCCTTCCCCCGCCAGGGGGTGTCACCACCTTCGAGGCAGAGCCCAGAAGGCGGGGTGGGGCGTACACACCTATACGTTATCTTCACTTTGCGAGTCGCGACTGAGTGACGTAACCGAGCGCGCCCGCCGCTGGTGGCTAGGGGTGGTGTTTGCTATTGCTCGGTGAGTCGCGGGTGGATGACGTCATTGAGCGCGCCCGCCCTGGCGGGCATGGAGGCAGGGATGGAGGAGTTGATGCCGCGGCTGCTGCCAGTATGGGACTGCGAGCTCGCCGAAGACTTCGACCCCACCGCGCCCCCGCGGACGCCGCAGGAGTATCTCAAGCGGGTGCAGTAAGTGGGAGCGGGGAGCAGGAGCCTCCCCCCGCTCTGGGACGAGCGGAGCGGCCGGGGCCGGGGCCGCCCGTCCCACTGCACGTTCTGGCCCTGCCCGCCTCCGCGGGAAGCAGCTCCCCCGAGCTCTGCAGCTGGGCTGGCTCGGAGGGACCCCATGGGAGACTGAAGCACCGGCTTGACCACCGGGAGCCCTTTGCCTTGCCCCGGTGCTGCTGCACCGCCTAGCCTCGTGTCAGTGCCCTGTGGGATGCAGGTGCTAGTGCACTGCCTACTGTAGGACCCACTGGGGTCTTTGCTGCAAATCTCCTGAGACAGAGATGCTCTGGGCTGCATGTCTGGGCAGCACCATCTCACCCTGCTCACTCTCCTCTGGAGCCCCCAAGTGCCACTGTAGTGCCAATAATTGCTGAGTTTGGTGCCAGTGAATGTAACTGCTCTTTCCTTGGTTAAGATCTTGACAATTTTTGTTAACACCAACATAAATAGAAACTTGCTCGCACACTCCGACACACAATC